TCTTTGACCTACGAAAGGATCAGAAAACGGCATGGTGTTGCACACATGAAAAGATGTGTAGTACTGAAGTACCTCGATGCCAGTCCCGACACTTGATATGAACTATTGTTGCCTTACACAAAATTTAGTTTGATCCCTGGAAACCAAAAAAATAGACAGTCATGAAGAGAATTGATCAGTTTTCCTGTTCTTATCGTTTTCATTGACATACTGCTTAGGAAAGACTGCGCAGATCTCAGGACATGAGGGAACAAAAAAAACAAAACCATTTTAAGAATGTTCACGGTGGTATTTTACTACTGCCTAGCTGCAACTGGTCAGGACCTCCGTGCCAGCCCTATAGCAAGATGGGGCTCGGACTAGGAGAAGAAGATGAGCGATTCCAGTGTCATGAGAAATTTTACGAGCAGGCTGAGCGAAATGCCAGCATTCATGTCATCGAGAACGTCCCTGGGTACCCTGTTGAAAACATGGTTACCCGGTACTTGAATCATGGTGATCCTAATGGCCCTTGGAAGACCAACTATGCCAGATTGGATCCTCGATTATTTGGGTTTGGGTCAGCGAGGCCTCGAGTTTATGCGGTTGCCTATGATTCTCGAGTGGTCACATGGGACAAGCTCTTTGGGTTTATCGATGTCTTGCTGGCATTGAGAGCACAGCCCCTCATGGAAGCAAAGGATTTTTTCTGGCTGGACCTTCCACCGACAAAGTTGAGCAATTCTGAGGAGACGTTATCTTAGTCTTAAACATATTGTTTGAATTGTGTGCCAAATGGTGAGCCAAAACAAGTAAATTACTTTACTTCGGGTCATCCCCACCATGACATTTATCGAGTTGTTACTGGCAAATCTTCTGGCATTCTATCTGACATATCTTCTGGCATTCGATCTGGCATTCTATCTGGCATATCTATCTGGCATTCTACCTGGCATATCTTCTGGCATATGTTCTGGCATATCTTCTGGCATTCTATCTGGCATATCTTCTGGCATATCTTTCGATATCCTATCTGGCATTCTATCTGTCAAATCTTCTGGCATTGTATCTGGCTGTTGAGGTCCAGCGGTGCTCACTGAGCTCGGAAGGTCCCAGGTTGAGGTCCAGCAGTGCTCACTGAGCTCGGCGGGTCCCAGGTTGAGGTCCAGCGGTGCTCACTGAGCTCGGAAGCCAGGTTGAGGTCCAGCGGTGCCCAGTGCGCTCAGACCCTTGCAGTTGAGGTCCAGCAGTAGCTTGGCGAAGAGTTGGCAAGGCGGAAGTGGACATGGAAGTGGCAGAAGTGGACCTGGAAGTGGATGCAGAGGTGGTGGAGGAGAACAAGAGGAGGAGAAGGAGGAGGAGGAGAAGAAGAACAACTCTGATAAAATCTAACAACCCTCACCTGGCAGGTGGGGAATAATATTTATTCTCCTTTGGTCCAGCAATAACCTCGACCAGGAGCGAAACCTTGCTGACTACATAGCGGCCACTGACAAGAAGATCAGGGAGGACTGGCAGGTGGCTGACTTATCGCAGATGGTTCGAAATGGACGAGGACGCACAGAGACAGTTGACAAACACCTCCAGACTGTGACAACAAACTGCGGTCGGTTCTATGGAAAGGCCATGGGTTATAAAAAAGATCAAATAGCTTCAGAAGTTGATAGAATATGTTCAAACAAGTTTGTTCCCCTTCCTTCCCTCAAAAGAAACAAACAGGCTATGAAGAGATGCATGTCGGGACAAGAGCTGGTAGCCTCCCATGTCTTCCCTACCACACGTCGACACTCCAAGATGAGTGGAGCCCCAGTTCTTCAGATTGGCGCCTGCTCCGAGTCAAAGACCCAGCACATGGCAGGAAATTCGATGAATGTGCCTTCCGTTGGCGCAGTGATGTTAGCAGGGATTTTAGGACTTTCCTGAATGCTTACAAAAGTACTTTATTTAATTCATTTTGATGGAGCTGGCCAGTGCAACATTGGTATGGCTTACAAATGCAACATTTGATGACATCGAGTTCTCGCTAGAACACGCGATAGAGGAAAAATGCCTTTGTTAGGTGATAGTAGGAATCTTTCAGTTTGGAATACTTTACTGGGTATCACAACCAGTCAGTCCAGATGATGTAAACACATGTGGTATCACGATGCTCAAAAGAATTCAACCCATTTTGTTATCTCGTATTTGGCTAGTAAGAGGGTTGATCGGAGCGCTTTCTTTGTCAGTGTCGAAACATGGGCAAGCGTGGCGGTGGCAGCAATGCCTCGGCATCAGCTGCCAAAGCCCAGAAAGTTCATGATTCACCGTGGGTGGGAAAAATGTTAGCTATAGTGAAGAGCCTCTGCGCAGATTGGTAAACTATTTATAGCCCCTGTTTTTCGTTTCCATTGGAAACTATGATATCCCAAAGAACTGGTGAATTACAAAGTTGCAACCAGCATGGAATCCCAGGAACTTTGATCCGCTGAAAGATGAACACCCTGTCTCATGGTTGATGCAGAACTTGAAGCCTGAGCTTTACGAGCCTGTGACCCAATGGTTGGATGAAGTGATGGGGTGTGAGACTAGACGCCCAGAAGCGCTTGTGATGCCGGACATGGGTTGGCAAACAAAAACACTTGAAATCAAATTTGGGTTGACGACATTATTCATGCCATAAAAAGTTTCTACATGTCTTCAATATTCCCCTGTGGAAGGACAATTCTATTTGCACTCCCTTTATGGTCCCCTTGACTGCATTCACCTATCGCCTCCCAGCAGAGGGCTTGCCTTGCTTGTCAGACTGGACGTCCCACAGCCTGAGCATCTGGACAAGCGGCTACGAGGCTTGGAGGGAAAGTGTTGAGTTCAAGGGCACAACCAGGGCAGCGGGTGGTCTTCCCATGAGCTTTGGATGCTTAGAGGCTTCCAAGGGAACAGGCAGGATTTCGATCTTGCTCTACACTGTCCTCCAGACCTACTTCATCAAGAACCAGCTGGAAGCAGCTGACTTGGACAAGTTCAAGTTGCCACTTGCTTCAAGGAATTTAAAAGCTACAACTTGTAGGAAAATCATATATTACCCACAATTTTTTAGGTGGTTACCTGGGGAATTCTAGATGATACTGGGGATACCTGGGGATACCTGGGGATACCTGGGGAACATCAAAGGGTCGCCTTTGAGAGTTCCCAGATCTCAAAATCCCAGAGGTGACCCTGGCGGTGCCAAGGTCGCCTCTGCCCTGATACCACAGATAGGAAAAGGTCGCCTATTGTTGGGTTTGGGGTCCGTGGGAACTGTCAGAGGTGACCTTCTGTATGGGAAGGTCGCCTCTGATCTGAATCCAACCTACTGAAACAATCGCCTATGGAAGGATGTAGCTAAGACCCAACAAGGCCAGAGGTGACCTTGGCACTGCCAGCATCGCCTCCCAAAAACCTTGACTTTGGATGTTCCAGAGGTGGCCCTTTGATGCTCCCAAACTATCTCTTCAATTTCAGTTGGCCGCAATGAAAAATATTAGAATTTACCTACCCTTGCTCAACATTGTTCAGAACAAAAAAACACTTTTTCAGCTATGTCACAAAAGTTTAAGTCACAAACACTTGGCCAGCAACACTTAGGTGGCTTGCTACAGCAGTGCAAGTCTCCAGCGTCTACCTCCACCAGGACAAGGAGCAAGACTTTGTGTGGCGGCGGATCCAGGTGTCCCAACAGCAGGCCGAAAGGCAAAAGAAGTCCGTGATCCAGCTCTGCATGACCTTTCATCGCAGAGCTTCGCAGCTTCAGCAAGAGACCTATCTTGATACAATAGATCAGGTATATATATATATATGTGTTTTAGTAAGTATGCGGGTAACATATCACATCAAATCAAATTACATCGAATCACATCATATCATATCGTATCAAACCGTTTTATACCATATCAAATCAATTCATAGCAAATCATACCACATGCTATAAGCCCATAGCATATCATATCACATCATACCAGTTCAACACATATCATCTAATGTTACATCAAACCATATCACATGATATCAAATCATATCATAGCATATCCTATCCAAACGTGAATGAAATCAAATAATATCATATCAAAGCATTCCAAATCAAATCATATCAAAGCACATGAAATCAAATCAAGTCATATCGAAACACATCATATCATATCAAATGAAACCATATCGACCACATGATATCACTTAACATTACATCCAAATATATGGTATCATATCATAGAGAAACATGCCAGATCATATCATAACAATGTCTAATCAAATTAGATCATACCACAGAATAACCTGAAAGAAATGATGATGCACCCAAAGAATGGTAGTTTCCCCTTTAACTATCAAAAACAATTGTTTGCGCAATCCTGCACATCATAAAAAGAAGCTTCGGGATTTCACCACATTTGGGGATAATCAATCCTGGGCCCAATATTGTGATGTTAAGATGCAGAAGTAATGAAATCCCAAATCTCCAAGGAAGATTTGACCTTGGACTACCGATGTGCCTACCTCGCAGCGATTGACGAGTTCAACAGCTTCGGTGCAAACAGCTCAGAGGGAACTGGACAGTACCGAATTGAGAAAACGCTGGCCAACCTGATGTTTGGATTCAAGGCCAGATAAGTTAGAAAAACAAGACTAGGTATTTGTGCTATTAATCTATCATGTCAGTCCCATGGGGTATTCTCTCGTTCCACCATGATATTTTGTTCCCAAAGCCTTTGTGTGCAGGTTGGTGTCTGCGATCCAGTGTGGAAGATGATTCAGCAACATCTTCATGTCAACAAGTTCGTCTCGACAACTAAAAGGTGAATTTTGATATGTTTTGAATGTGTTTTAAACCTGGTCTCGTTTTCCCAAAAGAAACATGGCTCCCCTCTACCCTGTTCACATTGTGGCCCCCTGCAGCTTTCCACCAGTCCACCCTCCTGGGCGATCGATGGCTCTTGGGCGCAGTGGCACCCAAGGCAGATGGGGTCTGGTACGACATCTTGACTGTTGATGATGGAAAACAGCATGTATTTATGCAACGCATTTTATTCATGCACAACATCAACAAGGGGAAAGCGGGGAAAGCCCAGTCCCTCAGGATCCCACAAACAGTTTGGGATTTGGAAGTTGACTTAGCTTGTTTGGCTGGCCATGTCCTAGACGCAATGTCTTCCTACCGCAACCCTGAAAATTTGCTGGTCTTTGACGAAGCAGTGATCAAAGCAGCCATGACAAACTTCATTGAGGGGACACTTTGATGATATAGCAAGGTTTTCTATTACAAGGATGTTTGACCCAAAGACCCAAGATATTCTATCTTTGTTTCCGTCACCATCCCAAGATATCTTGTTTTTAGGTTCATATAGTTCTTAAGTCATTTATCTCAAGATGCCTCAACATTCCTAGGGACTTCCATGAAGACTTGAAGGTGTTCAACGAAGTCAAGGACCCACGATTTACTGTGGAACAGACCAAAATGTGGACTGAGAATGTGCCTACCAGTTCAAAGCCTTTGGGGGAATCCCAGCTCCAGCTAGCTGATGGAAAAATCAACCAGTTGGTGCTCAACCAGACGAAGCTTCAGTTTGAAGCAGATGCCCTCTCCTTGGCTCGTGATGCCAGCCAGTTGGCGAACCTGTACAATGCAGAGATGCAGTCTGAACGATCAACAAGGCTGGCACGAGTGATGCACCTAAAACAAGAGAACCAGATCGGAAGTGCCATTGTCACCAGCCACATGGCTGCACACTGTGCACATGGCAGTGGGCCAATGTCATATCTCCACCCATACATCGACAAGGTCGATGTTGCCATCAAAAAATGTTTTTCGTCTCAAAAATGAAAGCCATAAAATTAAGCATATTAATGCATAATGTGGTTATAATATGATTGTATTATCTTATTCTTGCAACCCTGAGTTCATGGACGAGATGAGGGGCAAGAACGCAGGTGTCATCATTTGGCTTGACTACACAAAGTATGGGACCCTCTCCAACACTGACTTAAACAACACAGTGGCCCTGGCTCAGAAGGCCATGTCCCAAATGCCTGAGCAAAGCTGCTGCTTCGCGATTGCACCCCTCTTGGCCTCAGATCGACGATCTGGGTTCAGAGAGGAGTTCAGGACAGTCGGGCGTGATGGGGTTCCATGAGATACTCTTACAATGTCTAGCGCCACATTTCCATCATATGTGTCTTTCCATATCCCTATGCAAGCTGAGGTTACCACAATGGTATGTGAATAACTTCCATGTAGCACCCCAAGCAACCACCAAGAAATTAGTGGACATTTGCAAGATGTTGCAATCCAATTCTTGGATATACTCAGTAGATTGAATAATTCAGCTCCAGAAGAAAAACTTCCGAGTTACGAATGAAAACACCATATATAATTTTATTTTATTTCGTGTGATCCCCACCATGACATTTATCAAGTTGTTACTGGCAAATCTTCTGGCATTCTATCTGACATATCTTTTGGCATTCGATCTGGCATATCTTCTGGCATTCTACCTGGCATATCTTCTGGCATATGTTCTGGCATATCTTCTGGCATATCTTTCGATATCCTATCTGGCATTCTATCTGGCAAATCTTCTGGCATTCTATCTGGCAAACATTCTGGCACTTTATCTGGCATACCTTCTGGCATTCTATCTGACATTCTATCTGGCATACCTTCTGGCATTCTATCTGGCATATTGTCTGGCATATGTTCTGGCATATCTTCTGGCATTTTATCTGGCATTCTATCTGGCATATCTTCTGGCATATCTTCTGACATCCTTTCTGGCATTCTATCTGGCAAATCTTCTGGCATTCTATCTGGCAAACATTCCGGCACTTTGTCTGGCATACCATCTGGCATTCTATCTAGCATACCTTCTGGCATTTTATCTGGCATATCTTCTGGCATTTTATCTGGCATATCTTCTGGCATTCTATCTGGCATATCTTCTGGCGTTCTATCTGGCATATCTTCTGGCATTCTATCTGGCCGTTGAGGTCCAGCATTGCTCACTGAGCTCGGAGGGTCCCAGGTTGAGGTCCAGCGGTGCCCACGGAGCTCGGAGGGTCCCAGGAAAAGGTCCAGCGGTGCTCACTGAGCTCGGAAGGTCCCAGGTTGAGGTCCAGCGGTGCCCAGTGCGCTCAGACCCTTGCAGTTGAGGTCCAGCAGTGGCCACTGCGTGCGGAAGTTGGCGAAGAGCTTGGCGAAGAGTTAGCAAGGCGGAAGTGGACATGGAAGTGGAGGCAGAGGTGGTGGAGGAGAAGGAGGAGAAGAAGGAGGAGGAGAAGAAGAACAACTCTGATAAAATCTAACAACCCTCACCTTGCAGGTGGGGAAATATAGTATTGTATGTTACATAGATGCTATAGAGATTTTAGCTAGCTAATATTGTCAGCCTAATATATTTTTCCTTATGCTAATTTAATTTCGAAGCAGTAGTGGCGCAGCCAGAGGTTGTTTCATCTCGCAGCCTTTCCATTCATCGTGATGGGCCTCCACAGGTCAGAGCATGAGCTCTAGCCCCCGAGTCGGGGATGGTGGGTCTTGATCATCAATCTGCACCCAGATGCAGCGCAAGATCTTGCCATATAGCTCCCAAAGCCGAATGCCAAATCCCAAACCATGGTACTCCGTCATCACGACAACGAGCAGCCCAAAGATTGCAATGTGCCATCTCCAACAGTTCTGATTATATGTCCAAGATAAAGATCCTAAAACCTAGCCCCATTATCTTTGGTTTTCTTCTAATTTCACTTCCTTTATTACTAAAAGGCACTTATGCAACTGCTTATTATATGTTTCTCCCTTGTCTTGGCAGGAGAATCGAAGACAAAATGGAAGCCAAAGGTTTGGATGCCGAATCAGTATTCCTGCGTTTTGACACACCACCAGCCAACAAGAAGGTGGCACTCTCCTACCAAGCCTGGATCATCAACATGAAGGGCCCCAACGTGGAACAACTCTTTGTTGTACCAAGACAGGCCCAGTGGTCGCCTAAAAAACTACTGGTTATTATTTTGTTTTTTCTTCCAAGTTCAACCCGATGAAGTTGAGATACAGTGGCCATCAAAAGTTCTTCAACAAAGATTCATCAACAAAACACCCTTCAGGGCTACGAGGGAGCTTTTGCCGTGGGTGCCCGAGTCGCAGTACGTTGTCCCTACCCTGAAAGATGCTGTGCCTCATGCATCAGAAGGGATGAGGCGTTAGGGGTGAAAACAATTTGATACCCCACTATATGTTAAACAAAATATCACCCTTAAATTGATTCAAACTTGTTTACCAAGTTTTAAAACATCTATTCCAACTGCTGATTTGCAGGGCGCTAAGTGAGTGCCAAGAGAAAGCCCAGCTGATGACTGGTTTGACTATGCCAAAGGCTGTGATCGCTTCACTGTTGAATGGAGGGGCCCAACCTGGCCAACACGTTGGAATCTTGAACCTGAGCCCATATGATGGATGCTTAGAGAAAGTCGCTTTGTCATGGCATTTGGATCACCCTGAGCGACATTTGTCAAGTATGGCCCTTTCAACTGACATGGATGTGATCGCCTACAATGAGAAGGTGGTAGCACTGTACTTGATTGAGGTGTGGGACAGCAATCTTAAACATATTTACTGTAAAAAAAACTTAATTGGGGTAATTGAGGTAGTTAAGTTTAAATCCGAAAGTCTCATTATGGTTATGTTTTCTGGGACATGACCCTTTAGCTACTCACCCTGCTAGGAATGGAAAGCTGGTAGCCATGTGATGGGAGATGTCAGGCCGTATGACCCATCTGCTCCAGCTGCTGCTGCGGTGGATTTGGAAAAGTACCCCTTGAAATTGGCAAAGGTAGCCATGGATCCGTCAAAGAAAGGATGGGAACGTTTCCGGGTGACCCTCAGCAATGAGGTACGATCAATGTATGTGGATGATGCCATTCATTCTCCAAAATGGAAAGATCTAGTCTTGGACTTTGATCGAAAGCTTCTAGGTTCAAGTTCTATATCTTATCCTTTGAGTTCCTACGATTTTAATGGTGGTTCCCAAGAACATATTAAAGGTCCTATTATGTCAATATTTCCTTCCCATTCATCGGTTATCCCAGGTTTTGTGGTGGCACCCCGGTCTGCGAAGCTATCGTCCCAGCTGAAGACGAAGAAGAGGAAATGCCGCAAAGAACTACCTTTGCGGAGGGTTCGGAACCGGACTTGCTGTCTACCCTGCTGGACCAGTACATCGTGGAATGTCGCTTTGCTGGTAGGACCCCAGGAACATCCCTCTACCTAGCCCATGCTGTTCGGCGAGATGGGACCCGTACGGAGATGGTGGACAACCAAAAATTCAAGCTGTTCCTAGAATCTTGGCTAGCTGATTGGGGATGGTATAAGGCCCTCAAGCTCAAGCATGGTGGTGGTTCTATTGTCCCTAGCATGATAAGAAACACTTAGTGTGACCTGTGAAACACAAGAATAGTGAGTTCAGGTAAAGTTCAAGTGGCAGCCAACAAAAAAAACAACAATCAGATAATCCAAATGATTTCTTTACCAAGGTGGCACATCAGGACCTGGAGATTGATGCCAAAGAGTTCATCATCGGCCACGGCAAGTCCACTTTCATGAAGCCCGACAAGGTTGCCAAGATGGAACGGGAAAACACCACCGGAGGCAAGACTCAACCGTTTTCCCTTTTGTTGGAACCATGTCCCGCTTATCTACCATGTCTCACTTGGGTGCCACACCAGGATCTGTTGCACCAACACGCATCGCACAACCTCAGCCGGGTTTGATCAGTATAGGATTTAGTAGCTGGGTTTTTGACCCCTTTTCCTGTTGTCCATGTCGGAGCCTTCCATGACACTGGCAAATGTTCTCGCTCAGCACGGTTTCCAGAAGGAGCTGTGTGAAATTGTATTTGGATGTCGTCTGTTTTAATTATTCAAGTATGCTAGAAGATTCAACGATTTCACCTGGGTGAAATCAGCTTGGACCTGCAGGACTTAGATGCTATGCTAGACGCTAGCCCTGGTGCCTTGCAAACACCACCTGCATCAGTGCCTAGATTAAAAAAAAAACGTGTCACTTGCAGTTGATCAGCATAATCTGATCTGTTTCCCACTTACAGTATCTCAGCCATGGCCCAGGTCCCAAACAGGAGCCCGAGCTTTGGCGATGGCCCAGCTTCTGCGCCTAAGGAAGCCGCTAAGGGTGTGAAGCTGGATGACACTAGGTTGCCAATGGTGTCGCATACAGCTGATAGGAAGAAGCTAGACAAGGCTTTGTCAAGGGAACAGTTTGAGGCTGCCAAACGAAATGTTGATTCGGCCTTGAAGGAGGTGACCACTGGACGCAAGAGTGCTTTGAAAAAGGATCGTGAGGAAAGTGAAGTGAAACATACCAGAAAGGGTTCCAAACGGGAGACCCCAAAGGAAGTCTTGGATAAGTTGGATACCCCAAAGATGAACCTTAGCAAAGAAGCCGGAAAAATTGCATGCAAACGTTTGCTTGATGGGTTGGTGCGTCCAGCCAAAGCACCTGAAGAGAAGAAGGCTAAAGTTACGAAAGGCAAGATGAAGAAGGCCTGGTTTGTTCTGAAATTGTTTCAAAATATTTCAACAATTCATGGAACATCATCATTGTCCAAAGAAACCCACCATGATTCACCATGCACCATCGCCTGTTCCCTGAGCCTGCGGCGGCCCGGAAGAAGCAATCTCCGAAGTCGGCTGCGTCGAAGCCAAGCAAGGCCTCGGGATGGGTTTTGCTTGGCACTGAATCTTGTCACTTATCATTTCGGTTATGGCACCTGGTTATGAACACAAAATGTTTTCGGTTTCTCCTCCCAAGATAATATCAACTATTTTGAAATTAATTCCATACAATGAGTGTTAAATATAGAGCAAGCATCCTCAAATATTAGCATGCTAATCCCCCCTGTAATGTATGGATATCAACATTCCCCTGCAATATAAAGATACCAGCAACAAGGGAACACGAACCACTACTGCATACTATATAAGAGTTGGATATAGTAGTTAGGTCCAATATACTCAACCCTGAAAGCTAGGGGGAAAAGACTGCAATGATGACAACCTTGTGCCTACAGCTGTCAGGCAGCTGCTGTTGAAAAGACTGACGATGAGGACCAGAAGGACTGTGATTCCATCGACAGTGAGGAAACCCTTGAATTACCAGGCAAAGGTGATTCCAATGATGGTCCAGGGGATGATGGGGCCGGTGATGGTTCAGATGTTGAATCTGTGGCTGCCAACCCGGGGGATGATTCGACAAAGGGGGATGACCAGTCCAGCTTGCGTACTTTGTACTGGGCAGCTGTGCATGAAGCACAGAAGCGTATCAAAAGGGAGTTCCCTGACCTTTCCGGCCGTGAAGTTCTTAAGCGAGCTCGTGCTGAGCGTTTGGGTTGCATCTATTTGCTGAATTCAATCTTTGGAATAGCTACTAAGACTTAAGAAGAACTAAGAAGTGCAAAATACCGCAAACTTTCATGTCGATGGTTCATGTTTCCACTGAATATCCCCAACAAACAGATTCACATAACCCATCACTACCAAGGTGGACCAATCATCCAGATCGCCTCAATGCCATGCAGAACTTGCCTGCCCATGAGCTTAGCCGCCGACGCTTGAAGCCAGCAAAGAAATGAAATCCGACTGTATGACCTGGCTGGGTTTTGTGCAGGCTACCACTTGGGAGACAATTAAGACACTGACATACTACTTTGTGATTGGATGTGATTGGCAATTTTTTCAAATGAAAAAATGGTTCAGTGGATGGCCTGCTGCTTCGACTCATGTGAAACCATGAGACACTTAGGGGACGAGCTTAGACTATTCTTTCGACGGGTCACCTTGACCATGTTCATTTGGGATGCCAAGAGCGAGCTGTGAGCCATGCGAGAAAAAAGTCACTAGAACAATGTAAAATCTTTCTAACATTCTGTTGATGACAGCTGATGGGATCTTGGTCAGTATTTACTATCCAATCTTTGGTTCTTATTCTTGACAAAATCATCCACTTGTGTCAGGTGATGTGATGGCCCATATGATCCATTGCCGATGGACATCCCAATCGGCCAAAGTGGTTCTTGAGGTGCAAAGTGAAAATTCCAAGGCTTGCAGTGATGCAGAGCCCTGTGCCATCGGTGATTTGCTGAGGGAGATGGAAGAGGAAGGGATCACCGATGTAAGCTTCATGGCCACTCATGTGCCCGTCCCGCGCCTGACGGCTTCCAAGGTCTGATACACCATGACCATGGCTCAGGGCAAGGGTTGTTTCAACAGTAGGTGGTTCTATGTTTAATTGTTGTGTGTTATCTATTTCTCGTTTCACGTCCCTGAAGGTGACAAAGATGTCTTCAAAATCCAACCGAGTGCCAACACAGCCATCTTCTCGTACACGCCTTCTTTGAACAATTTGAAGTTCTCAACTACAGCCAGTGCATTTCCAAGGGAAGTATGGGGCCCAGTGGGAAAAGGTAAAACCCCTTGCTGTTTTTTCACACCCCATTTCTGGAAATCTTTGGGGTCATTTTCTTTTCCTAAGATCCTGGATGCTTCTCCAGCACTTGATCGTCGTTGGAGGGTTGCATATGCGAAGGCCGAAAAGGACCTGGTTTGATTATTTCAACATGTTTGATCCATATCCTATGATGATATTTGATGCTTATTTCACTATGATATCCAACACAAGATCATATTGCCTCCGCTGCTTCAGGAGCTGACGCCGAGAAACTTGACAGCAAAAGTTGCCGAACCAAATCCATGGTATGGGTATTAAGTGCGATTTGGAAATTTCAACTGCATTTTGTTTGGATTGTTGCCATTTTATCCTGAGGAAAGCCTCTCTATTTTCTCCACGATGCCAAGTCCATGAAAGCCAATGAAGTACTACGATTGGTGTAATCTGTTTCCTTTTGGCCGATGGGCCTTATGTCTTGAAAAACCGCTGGCCATTGTTGATGACCTTTGAAGTTTGAACTGGACCAATCCATATTTTCAACAGAAATAATCCCAAAGTCTTTCTGAAGCACTGGCCTTTGGTTTCGGGGTTCTAGATCAGTGATAGCATTGATCTATGGATGGTGATTGGCAAAGCCATTTGCCTATGTGAAGCGAGCGAGTGTCCGAGCTGCAGCTGAGAAAAGATCCAAGCCCGGGATGACATGTGCATGTATCATCACTCCTGTTAGAGCCCAAACCACCCCTCAATTAAAAGGAAACAGGGTGCGATTACAACCAATTGTACTTACAGGCATACGTATACACAGGCATACGCATACACAGCGATACAAATTTTACTACTACTACTATTACTACTACTGCTACTCCTTTTTTTTGCTGCTATTCATTTAAAAATATGCACGGGCATGCGTATACACAGGCATACGTATACACACGCAGACGCATACACAGGCATGCGTATACACAGTCAATCACAAGCAGGCATACGTATACACAGGCATACGCATACACAGGCATACGTATAGACAGGCATACGCGTACACAGCGATACAACTTTTACTACTACTACTATGACTACTACTGCTACTACTTTTTTTTTGCTGCTATTCATTTAAAAGTATTCACGGGCATACGTATACACCACAGGCATACGTATACACAGGCATACGTATACACAGGCATACGCATACACAGGCATACGCATACACAGGCATACGCATACACAGGCATACGCATACACAGGCATACGTATACACAGGCATACGTATACACAGGCATACGTATACACAGGCATACGTATACACAGTCATACGCATACACAGGCATACGTATACACAGGCATACGTATACACAGGCATACGCATACACAGCGATACAAATTTTACTACTACTACATACTACTACTACTATTACTACTACTGCTACTCCTTTTTTTCCCCACATCTTTGTGTGGGGTTCTTGTTTTTGATTCTGTATCCCGGGCTCCGCCTCCTCCTCCGCCCTCCTCCACACTTTGTCCACACACACTTTATCAACATACACTTTGTCACCACACACTTTGTCCACACACACTTTGTCCACACACACTTTGTCACTTTGTCCACAAACACTTTGTCCACAAACACTTTGTCCACACACTTTATCAACATACACTTTGTCACCACACACTTTGTCCACACACACTTTGTCACCACACACTTTGTCCACACACACTTTATCAACATACACTTTGTCAACATACATTTTCTCGACTTTGTCACCACACACTTTGTCCACACACACTTTATTACAACACACACTTTGTCACCACACACACACACTTTATCAACATACACTTTGTCAACATACATTTTCTCAACAAACACTTTGTCACCACATACTTTGTCACCACACAGGTTGTCCACACACACTTTATCAACGAATACTTCGTCAACACACACTTTGTCGCCACATACTTTGTCACCACACAGGTTGTCCACACACACTTTATCAACGAATACTTCGTCAACACACACTTTGTCACCACACACTTTGTCACCATACACTTTGGCACAACTTGACATCCACCTTCGTTTCACGTGGCACAACCTCACATCCACCTTGGTTTCACGTGGCAGGCGTGGCACTCATGGCACTGGGTGGCGCGCTTGGACTGGCTTGGGCGCCTGTGACGCCGCGGCACTTTGCGTGGCAGGCGTGGCACAACCTGACATCCACCTTCGTTTCACGTGGCAGGCGTGGCACAAACTCACATCTACCTTCGTTTCACGTGGCAGGCGTGGCACTCATGGCACTGGGTGGCGCGCTTGGCTTGGGCGCCTGTGACGCCGCGGCACTTTGCGTGGCAGGCGTGGCACAACCTGACATCCACCTTCGTTTCACGTGGCAGGCGTGGCACAAACTCACATCTACCGTCGTTTTGCGTGGCAGGCGTGGCACTATGGCACTGGGTGGCGCGCTTGGCCGGATTGGGCGCCTGTGACGCCGCGGCACTTTGCGTGGCAGGCGTGGCACAACCTGACATCCACCTTCGTTTCACGTGGCAGGCGTGGCACAAACTCACATCTACCTTCGTTTCACGTGGCAGGCGTGGCACTCATGGCACTGGGTGGCGCGCTTGGACTGGCTTGGGCGCCTGTGACGCCGCGGCACTTTGCGTGGCAGGCGTGGCACAACTCACATCTACTGTCGGTTTGCGTGGCAGGCGTGGCACAAACTCACATCTACCGTCGTTTTGCGTGGCAGGCGTGGCACTCATGGCACTGGGTGGCGCGCTTGGACTGGCTTGGGCGCCTGTGACGCCGCGGCACTTTGCGTGGCAGGCGTGGCACAAACTCACATCTACTGTCGGTTTGCGTGGCAGGCGTGGCACAAACTCACATCTACCTTCGTTTCACGTGGCAGGCGTGGCACTCACGGCACTGGGTGGCGCGCTTGGACTGGCTTGGGCGCCTGTGACGCCGCGGCACTTTGCGTGGCAGGCGTGCACGTTTTGCAGGCGTGGGTTTCACGTGCAGCGTGGCACTCACTGGGTGGCGCGCACTCACATTCGTGTCACGGTTTGCGTGGCAGGCGTGGCACAAACTCATATCTACCGTCGTTTTGCGTGGTAGGCGTGGGACAGATGGCACTGGGTGGCGCGCTTGGACCGGCTTGGGCGCCTGTGACGCCGCGGCACTTTGCGTGGCAGGCGTGGCACAAACTCACATCCACTGTCGTTTCACGTGGCAGGCGTGGCACAAACTCACATCTACCTTCGTTTCACGTGGCAGGCGTGGCACTCATGGCACTGGGTGGCGCGCTTGGACTGGCTTGGGCGCCTGTGACGCCGCGCCACTTTGCGTGGCAGGCGTGGCACAACTCTGACATCCACCTTCGTTTCACGTGGCAGGCGTGGCACAAACTCACATCTACCTTCGTTTTGCGTGGCAGGCGTGGCACTTCATGGTACTGGGTGGCGCCCTTGGGCCTGGCTTGGGCGCCTGTGACGCCGCGGCACTTTGCGTGGCAGGCGTGGCACAAACTCACATCTACTGTCGTTTCACGTGGCAGGCGTGGCACAAACTCACATCTACTGTCGTTTTGCGTGGCAGGCGTGGCACAGATGGCACTGGGTGGCGCGCTTGGACGGGCTTGGGCGCCTGTGACGCCGCGGCACTTTGTGTGGCAGGCGTGGCACGAACTCACACTACTTCGGTTTCACGTGGCAGGCGTGGCAACCAAACTCACATCTCTGCCGTAACTGCTGAATGCTTTTGGCAACCACAATGCCACCGTTATTCAGCAGTTGCGCCAGGACAAACACCATATGCTCCTGAACACGATGCAAATGTGATCGAAAGAAAAGATGGCGTTCGTCCCAGCTCAGAACAGGTTCTGTGCAAACAGTTGCAGCTATTTGTATGTCACTTGCTGTTTCTGCACTGTCCATGGCCAGCTGTTTTGTTGCAATTTCAGCGTGATCGCAACTTCTGATACTACCTGCCAGGTACTGACCTCATCGCGTACATGGCCCACGCCGACACCCGCACTCACACACACACACACAGACACACACACACACACATACACACACACACACGCACACACACACAGATAAACACACACACACAGACAAACACAAACACACACACACACACGCACACACGCACACATACACACCCACGCACACACACACACACACCCACACACACACATCATCCAAACGCCAGTCGTGGGCCATCCGTTTTCGTGATGGTCTGCGCTGTACGTTTGCGGACACATAATCAATGGTCACGCATCGATTGCCCTTCGCCACACTTCCTGGCGTGGGGCATCTTTGATCGTGGCCGCACACCACACACACATACTCGCACACACAACTTACTCACACATACTCGTCCACACATAACTTACTCCACACCAATGAATCACCATCTCTTTTCTCTTTCTTGCTTACCCCATGCCGTCTTTGCCTTTCTTTTGTTGCTTGTTGGAAGAAGTTGACTTGTGGGGTTATCCGGTCCTTTAATTGCTGCTATTCATTTAAAAATATGCACGGGCATACGTATACACAGGCATACGTATACACAGGCATACGTATGCACAGGCATACGTATACACAGGCATACGCATACACAGCGATACAAATTTTACTACTACTACTATGACTACTACTGCTACTACTTTTTTTTGCTGCTATTCATTTAAAAGTATTCACGGGCATACGTATACACAGGCATACGTATACACAGGCATACGTATACACAGGCATACGTATACACAGGCATACGTATACACAGGCCTGCGTATACACAGGCATACGCATACACAGATTTATACACAGGCATACGTATACACAGGCATACGTATGCACAGGCATACGTATACACAGACATACGCATACACAGCGATACAAATTTTACTACTATTACTATTACTACTACTACTACTATTACTACTACTACTACTACTAATTAATACTACTACTACTACTAATTACTACTACTACTGCTTTTTTTTTGGTGCTATTCATTTACAATTATCACGGGCATACGTATACACAGCATACGTATAGACAGGCATACGTATACACAGGGATACGCATACACAGCGATACAAATTTTAATACTACTAGTACTACTACTACTACTGCTACTACTTTTTTGGTGCTATTCATTTAAAAGTATTCATGGGCATACGTATACACAGGCATACGTATACACAGGCATACATATACATAGGCATACGTATACACAGGCATACGCATACACAGGCATACGCATGCACGGGCATACGTATACACAGGCATACGTATACACAGGCATACGCATACACAGGCATACGTATACACAGGCATACGTATACACAGTCATACGCATACACATGCATACGCATACACAGGCATACGTATACACAGGCATACGTATACAC